CCTCGGTCAAGGAGTCGTCAAGAACCACAAAGCCTGAAAGCTTCATTGCTTTTGATATAGCTCGCATGCGCTGGGCCGCACCACGACCAAACACCTGCGACTCAGCGAACTGAAGGCGCCCACGCAAGCACTCAAGCTCTCTGGCATGCGCTCCACCTTGCTGCACGATTGACTCGATGGTGGACACAAGCTCGCGCTTCCTAGCCTCCGTGTTTTGCACCCTAAGCAGACCCAGGTGGATCTCATCCATACTAAATTCTACGCCTAAGGCTTTTGCCACACTTTTGAACCCGGCGTCCTTTTCGTCGGACGTTTCCCAGCCGAGCAAGCCAAAGTATGACCGCAACACAAGATCAAGGTGACCCTTTTCCTCAGGCGAAGCCACTACCACATAATCATCGAAGAACACGGACCAGTGGATGTGGAGCAAAGCTTGCCCCACCGCCCAGAGGGCCCCTGATGCACGACAGAAGCCTTGTACGGAGGGTTTTGCACCGAAGGGTAACACCTGGCTTTGGTAAAGCTCAGGCTCACCCGTATTCGGGTTAAGCACACATATATAAGCATCCCCCAAGGCGCGCTCCGACACAGGAAGTTGCTTATAGGCTTTTCGTAGATCTATTGTCCGAAGGAGCAAGCGTGCGTCCCTTCCGGACTTCCGTAGCAACCTGCACCGCTTCAGGATCCCGGCCACAATGATGTTCACTGAATGCGGGTCGATGGTTTCCGCACATGTGCACGACAAGTTAGCCAAGCTTTCTGTGAAGTCGTCGATAGGACGGATCTTAGCCGCTACACCGGTGGCCGTCGTCGTCAGACCTTGCCTGACGCCAAAGCGGCGGGTAACGATGGCAGTCTCCGGCACATCGGCGAGAGTAAAGGGGCCAGTCAGCCACCCTTTATCCCGCTCCTCCAGGGTAAGGCGATACACTTCAGAAGTGATTTCCGGATCCCTGCAAGTACGGGAAGCCTCCCAAATCGCACGCTGGTTCGCCGGGGTGGCGATTCTTACGTCCTCGACACTGAGAGAAGCCACCGTGGTTTTCTTAGGCAGGACAGACGAGGAAGGGATCTCGCCAAGCAGGTCGAAACCGTTCTGTATATCTCGTACCAGTTAACATCAGCATGTCCGGCAGCCTTGACCATCTCCCCGAAGAGCTTCATAGGCTTTCCAGCTAAGATCTTCTTGCAGTGCTCAGGTCCATCAAAACTCTCATCAAGCTCTTTCTTCCTAAGCATCCACTTGCGAAGTTCGGCCGTTCGTTCCCTCGCCACATCGACCGAGCTGTGCTCACACAAGCGCTCAATACATGCCGACATGCCGGCTGGCACGCCTTGGTCCAAGGAGCGCGGGTGTTTCGCTTTGCAGGCCTGCTTGACGAACTCCGAAGGCGACCAAGGTATGCCGAAAAGCAGCTCAAGCTCAGGTTTGGCATTTGGTGTCGCACTGGCTGCATTTAAGGGTGAGGTTGCCGGCTGGCATTGGGGAGCAAAGGAGTCGGGACTACCTAAAACCACACCCTCAGCAACCGCAGGCAGGCACGAGGAGGCAGGGGACTCAGGACTACCTAAAACCGTACCTTTAGCTGGCTCCGAGGCAGGCGCCAGACCCCCTGGAACCACAGGGCTGGCTCGGAGACACTTGGAACCTGGCGGCAAAGTTGCAAGGAAAGGTTGGCAGAAGACAGTATTGGGAACCGCCCACGCCGAGACCAGCTTGGTCTTTGAGGTGCACGGCAGCTGATCGGCTGGACCTGCCAACTTGACACTGTGCGGGCGAACTCAGGAACCAGTGGAGGGATCTTGCGACCCGATGGTTGCGTCGCTGTAGCAACACGGGCGCCCATGGAGAGCGACAAGGAAGCATTTGCAAGAGAGCACGCCGGAGCGCGCGCACCGCACGCAACGAGCTGATCAACAAGTGCCTGGGCAAAAGTCTTGCACAAGAGAGGCGGCAAGCCGGCATCCTTCAGGCGATTTTGTGCAGGGGATCGCCACGGCTCATGGTCGTGGCCGCCATCACAAGTCACACCAAGCTTTTGCAAGAAGGGGACCGTGTGCAAAATGCGAGTGGCTTTTCTCCGGTAGGAGCCAAACATGCACTGGTGCAGAGAGGTGGAGAGGAAAGGCGAAGACTGACAGGACCGAAGTGACGCAGAGAGCCACATGATGGAACGGCTCGGGTGAGCAATGGAGCAAAATACCCCATGGCTCCAGCAAAAATGCCAGACCTCAGCACACATGGCAAAAAGTGTGTTGGCCCCCTGGACTAACTCGAGATCAGTGCCTTGCAAACCGGGCAGACCATCAGGGTATGTTGCATTGCGAAAAACACCAGAGCGGGGGCCCGGCAGATTGGCACAACTGGTGGTTACAGGTGGGGACAAGTGGCATGCAACAACATTTGGCTGTTTGAGAAGATCAAGCAGGATGGCCCGAGAGCCTGGCTTCGTGAGGTCCAACGAGACAACGGGACATTTGCAACCGCGCTGCGCGTGACGGTCTAGACGGACACTGAGTTTCATGCCTAACTGCCGTAGGGACGCACAGAGCCCCCCCGTGCCGCAGAAAACATCAAGAAACACGAGATTGTCAAGAGACACCCCGTCGACTTTAGCACGAACCTTGGAAAGCAAGGGCTCAAAAGCTCCGGCAGGCGGTGGTACATACGCCAACGGCGGGTTGGCCGTGGACGTGGAGACCGAAGGCCTAAACCCAAGGGATTTAAGGTGCTCAAAATCAAGGCTGGGCAATTGTGTGGCATCTCCGCCCGAAAACAAGATGAGGACTAGCCTATCACCTGTCCAAGGCATTGTGCAATGCAAGCGCTTTCGCGCATAGAACCGCACTGGGGCTGCTGCAACATCATACAAGACGCCTGGGATCAGGGTCCCATTGACAGGCAGTGCATGACTGCCCGATTCGGATTGCGCCCAGATGTGGCCACCTGAGAAAGAGGTAACGGCCAACACGAGGTTGTCGGCATCACCGTTATTTACATCGCGGTGAACTTCAGTCTTGAGTCTTAACGTTGAGGTTCAGAGAAATTGAGCAAAATGTGAAATTTGACAACTCGGTTCCGGCTTGCTGCATGGCCCAAGTGATGGCCAGGCTGACCGATTGGGGAAAAGAACGGCAGGAGTTCGTGAGGCCAACGACGCCCCCATGCCGGAAAACACCCGCGACAAAGGATCTGCCAGAATCGGAACTGAATCGCTCATCCTCCTTGGAAGGCAGCAAACTAAAGAGCCGCTCAACACAGGTTGCTGTCACAGGTTCACCAGACGACAGAACATCTTGTGCAAATTGCTCTGCAGGATGCAAAGAGGCATGCACTCGCCGCTCAGCGGGCAAGGGAAAAACTCGCTCATCAATCACAATATTTGAAATTCGATCAGACACTGAGGAGGCCGGCTTGGGACGTTCCAATGGGCCAACAGGGTCACTCTGTGCCAACATGCATGCATGGTTTGCCGCTTGGGTCGAGACCGGAGGGCTCATCGCTTCAGCAATAAAAGAATCGGTCTCAACAGCGGCAGCCTCCCGTCACTCGTTGACTTTGTAAGCCGGGCATTGGAGAAGGGAGTGGGGCTGCTCGCAGAACATACAAAGATGCAAGCCTCGTTTGCAGCTCTCACCCGCCTTCGCAAACTTACATCCTGCCTGCAGGTTAAAATTCCAACACAGGCGCTTCTTGGTCTTGCTACAGTTGTGCTTCAAGCGTGAGTCGGACAACACATCAGGACACTTTCCTTTGCCAGTGCCTTTATTGGGGCGGTGGGGCAACTTTGGCTTGCCATCGGCATCGCGCTTGATGCCCTTTTCGCCTTTTCCATCGCCCTTCCACTTAGCACCAGGAAGCGGGGCCAGATGCATCATGATTTTTGGATCATACTGAAGCTTGTCCAGCGCGGCATCCATCGGTAGATTACCGGAATCATCCTTCTTAAGAGAAGTCAAGAGCTCACTCATGCGCACCCACGCCGCCTTGTCGCACCTGAGCAGCTGCTCCATCGAAACCTTGGCATAATAGGGAGGCGGCTGTTCCGACAGCTTTGCAAGCAGATGCCTGTGCCACATGTCCATGGAGGCAAACGTGCAGAGCTGCAGAAGATCACAGGCAAGTGCCCTACGACACAAGGCTTCGGAGAGCTGCAGCTCATTCTGAATGCCACACTTATCCTTGTGGGCTTTGTCGCGGACACTCATACGCGAACCCTCATCTAAGATCAACTCCTTCCCCGGCTTCTCTCTATTCACTTCCATGGCCCTGGTGAGGAACCTGTGGGGCTCCAGATAGGAAAGGCAATCCTGATCAACGACCTGAGCGACATAAGTGTAATTGCTGAAAGCGTTTTCCAGAGGGCCCGTCAAGCTGAGGCCGATGAGCCTTTTGCGCTGATCGGCCAGGCGATTTGCTCGCTCGGCAGGAGCCAGCTCGGCTTTCCTTTCACCTTCACCCTCAATCGAGCTCTTGAGCTGTGCGATCGACAAAGTTTGAGCTTCAAACATGAGGCGTCGCAGCGCCGACAGTGCACGCAACGGCACAGTTGTGGGGTCCGTGGGGTCAAGGATGGACCTGAGTTCAGCTTCCTGTGGCACTTCGCCCGGGGTCGAGACGCTGAAGGCAAGGAGCGACAAGGAAGTCAGCCCCTTACGCACAAGCACATCGAGCTCAGCTTGCGCCAGACCACATTCTTTGGCCCTTTCTTCAAAAGCCGCTTGACTCTTCAAGATGGACGCCATGATGAAGAGTCGGATCCTACACGTTCAGAACTAGCATGACCGCAAGTGTGACATGCCCTAACTCAATTGACAAATCACTCCCGCAAGGGTATTTCCAGCATGTCATGTACATGGTCCCGCAAGGTGTCTGAGCCGTCCTGCATGTGATCACAAACAGTGTCCCGCACGCACTCACAAGAAAAAGCGCTGCAGACAATCAAATAACCTCGGGGCCTCAAGGCTCATGGGGACCTGACTCCGAAGCACCACAGCGCAGACTTTTACTCGGACCTCGGAATCTTCTTCAATCGCTCGTCAAGGCAGTGAACCAAGGACCCTAAGTCCCTGATGGGCTTGCCCTTCCAGCATTGCTTGCAGCGCCAGTGCGCCGCTTGAACCGCCGACGTGAACGGCTTGTGGTTCGCCGTGATATCACGGCCACATATAAAACGCTCCATGGAGCTTCCCGCAGGCTTGAGATGAAGAGTCCTTGTATTCTTCTGCTGATAGACAGGGCATCGATCGTGATACCTCTGCCCCACTGTGGGATCTGCCTGACTTGCAGTCAGGACTTCATCTATCTCGCTGTCAGACGAACCTGAATCAGAACTAGACTCGCTAGACGAAGAAGAGCCCGGCTCCTCCTCCTGTGATCCACTGTCCCCGAAAGCAGCATCCGGGTCCTCCCAAGCGGCACGCTCTGCACTATGGATCAGGTGGCATCCTTCTGATCTCCGAAACCCGGCTCGGAGGCAGGAGCACCTGCACTCGGAAGGGCTTCCGAGCCACACGCTGAGCCAGGACTAACCGCAGGCCGGTACCAGTCCCTTTCTGCCTCAGTCTCGAACACACTGTCGACTGGCAGCTCCTCGGCCGAGCCGGCAGCGACAAGGCCCTTTGCATAAAGACCTGACCGGGTCATGTCTGGAAGATACCTGCCACACCGAATGTCGCAGTACATTTGACAAAGCTCCCGCAACGGTCCCGCTTGAATGTCTCTGGAGTAGGTTACGACAGACCGCCGATCCTTCAAGGAGTGGTGTCCCAAAATGGTGCAGGAGTCCTTGGACATGTCCGTCTTGCTCGCCCAGGACAGGGCAGTATGCTTGCACGAGTGACCCTTGAGATCAGTCCCCATGCTTGAATCCCCAGACTGAAGGATCGAAGAAATCCAGGACACAAACCTGCCCGTCGGAATCCGACGACCGCTCCATGACCCATTGAGCATAGGTGACTGCAGCAGGGGCAGGCTGCAGGCTCCAGTGGCGATAGGATGGCCCGACAAGCGCCACACCTCAACCCAAGCTTTAGCCCAAAGACCTTGACCCACACCCCGCTCGGGGGACACTAAGCTCAACTCAAGCCCCAACGGGTTGCCTGTCGATGCACACTTATGGGACGTTGAGATGCACTCAAGGAAACCCTCACCTTCTGCAAAATCGATGGTCATCATCTTGACTGCCCTCACATCCCCTACACGGGCTCTCGAGTGAATGCAGAACAAGCAAGCACCAGCGGCATATCTATCCCTTGCATCACGGCGGCTGTCCTGGACGAAAGCTTCAAGGTATGCTACCTCGCGAACCTGAAAAGGCCTGGCTTGCACACGAGGCGGGCGGTTGAACCGCACCTTGCGAAGACGCCCTTGCACAAGCGGGTGCTTGTGAGGATCTCCAATCGCTTCCACACCCAAAATGAATCTAGCAAAGTTACAAGCTTCGATGCAAGATCCAAACACTGAATGCGAGGCCCCGCTCTGCTGCAGATGCTGGGTGTATTCGATCAACACCTGAGAGTCGATCGGGAAAGCTGACATGCCCTGGTTCGAGCACCATCCCACCATGCGGGCGAGACTGGACAACCGCTTCTTCAAAGTCGAGATGGCCTTGCCACCCAGGGATTCGGCAACAAGACTGATCCGGTCTGCTTCGCACTTGTCCTTCAACAGTCTGCCAAGGGAGGAGCATTCGTATGCGTGGCTCAAGAGAACATCGTATCTTGCTGCAAGCAATTGCAACTGTTGCTCTTCAGTTTCTTGAGGCCTCTGAAATTTCCTGGCAGAGAAAGCGACCTGAACAAACTGTGAAGCATGCTCTTGGGGGTGAGCCTTGGCGGAGGCCTCCTCGAAAGAAGCGGAGTCCAAGGGTTCCGTTTGTAGAGGAGCCGGCACACTGCACTGAGAAAGGGAATTCAAGTCGCCCTGCGAGAAAACTGCTTTCATCGTCCCTCGCTCCCAAGGCATTTTAAGGGAATGTTTCGACACATGTTTGTCTGCAGCAAGCAAGAGCCTATCGAGCGGTCGCGCCATACCCCAGAAAATGCGGGCGCTCACTGACCCTGGTAGAGTCGACTGAGGCGGCCACGACTTGCACGCACCAGCTCGGAAATTGTGCTGAAAATGCTTCTGATGGCTCTGCAGGTAGCACGCAAAGGCAACAAGTTC